TTTTACTCTTACTTAAGTATGTGTGTTGCCGGGGGAGGTGTGCATGTGGAGGTCAGAGGAAATCCTTCAGGAGGATGTTTGCTCCTTCCAATACAAGGGTTCAAAGAAATTAAACTTGGATGTGAAACTTGCAGCAGGTACCTTGCTGACCCCTAAATAATTTTATGTTCTCGATTTTTCATTTATTTTCTAATTCAATATCTGCTTATTTAACAAATATTTTTCAAATGACTAGTGTGATGAAGCAGTTTCTAAGACTGAAAAGTCCCCATGTAAAATAACAAATATACATTAAATGAACCTACAAAAACTATTTAGAGGCCAACAAAATTTACTTAAGGTCTATCAAATTGATATATAGTTCTGTTTCAGGTAGCAAATTGGTTGACTGTGTGTCTGTGTGTGTGAGAAGTAAGTTGATACAGTAGATTTACATAAATAAGTGAAACAAATTTTTCTTTGTTAAAACCAATTTATCCTGTAAGTTTATGGCAATAATAAAACATAGAAAAATATAGTCTTTCAAGATATAGAGAAATTTAAGAATTTGTTTTGATTAAAAAGAACAAAAAGGGCTTGCTATGGTTATAACTTAATATACCAACAATATGAAATTTAATTTTAATTATTAATTTTCAGTTAACTGAAAATCAAAAGCGTTCCATTAATAAGATGGATGTGAAAGTATTGAATGTATAACCACTCATGGTGGGGATTGTATCATAATGTATTTTGAGACTGAGTAATGAGTATTGTTCTCAGACATCAGAAGTACTAAATATTTTCTACCTAATAGAATTGTTCCCATGCTTATTATTAGATGTCTGATTCTTTTATACTTTCTTGAATCTCTACTACTTCCCTAATCCTGAGAGATAGTGGTTGTTGTTTATAGCCCATTATACAGGTAAACAAACCAAATAAGGTCATTAAAAGAGAGCTAAATTAATGAAGGTCACAGAAGAAGTTAGCAGGTATTGTGACTCAAAAACTGATTTTGTTTGAGTCATATTATCTGTGGAAAACAGAAAAATCTCATCTATTATTATATAATTTGATAAAGTCTTGAGGTTTGTGATTCAAAGTCATTGACAGATCTGCCTACTAGTTATTAAAAATCTTTTAAAAACTTCACCAATATGCCCTCAATCATAAATTATTTATGTTGGTGAAATCAGAGCATGGGAACAATTCTACTACATCAAAAATGAATGTAGTAGTTATGCAATTGTAATATCTAAGAATATAAGCCTTTGCACAATCTCAAAATAAAAGCTTGCTCTGCGCTTATCAACTAAATGTGCACTATAGTTACTGGTTTCTTCCCATAAAAGGTGATCCATGATATTTGTAATGCTTCCTATTGTAGTAAAAGAAGTGTAATATTAATACTACTCTAATATGTAGCAATGGGCCTAAGAGTTTGAGATCTCTAAAAATAAAATAAACTTGATAGTAGAAAGAAGAGGTGAGTGGTGGCAGTTTAGGGAGTGGGGCTAGGGCATTAATACAGGATTAAAGTCAGCCTTTTGATAGGTACCACAGAAAGGGCAGACAGTCCTTGAACATTATTCAGAAGGAGTTAGTGTTGGGGCACTCCCTTCTCAAATCCTTTTATTGTCCTTTCAACTTTCTTTTCCCTGCTTGCAGCTGATTGCAGAGAAACCAACATTTAAAACGTCTGACTTTCTACAGGAATAGAAAAACACAGTGACACTAAGCTGGAAGAGGGGTCTGATGGCAGAGGCAATAATGAGTTTGTATAGATAAAGGGATAGAATGGGAATGACAGGAGGATATTGCATTGTCACTGTGGCTAGGGAAAGAAGGAAGGTCAAATGGAAGAAGGGTGGTGCCCTGTGGGCTTAGAGACACTAGAAAGACAGTTTTCAATGGAATAATGTTTCAAAATTATAGAAATTCCACTCAGAAAGGCTTTCTCATAGTGGTACAGGTTTTCTTCTTTTCTAAAAGAGATGGCCTGACTGTGATTAAATTTCAGTTTACCAGGTTTTTCATTATTTCAAAATATGTGTACAGTAATGAAGTAGCTTGTACTGCACTTCCTGTTTACTCAGGAAATATATCCTTTTGGGGTTTTTATGGATCTAAAGAACAAATAGTTATAGTTGCAGGTTTTTCTTAGTTATGATAGAAGGTAAATTAGGTTCAGAGATTTGGAGTCATCAAGACAGAAAAAATAGTGGAGTATTTTCTCCTAATATGCCAAATACAAATGGACTAGACATTGTAAATGCAATTCTTACCTGACAATTGTTCTTATTCTTTATAATTTTATTACACTAGAGTTATAAACCTTTCCTTTTCATTTAGAAAAAAGGGGGAAATATTGTGGAATAATCTTTTTGTACACTGTGAAGATCTGCCACTCAGATTGACTTAAAAGAAAGCCAAATGGCCAATAGCTAGACAAGATTTTGGGTCAGAGAGGATGCTGGGAACAAGAAGGGTGGAGTTTCCAGCCATACAGAGAGGAAATAAGACACACAAGAGGGCAGGTCAATACTACTAGTCACATGGCAACACATACATGAAATAAATAAAAACAGTTAAGTTATAGAAGCTGGGTAGAAACAAACCTAAACTACCTTTCAAGCTTTCATAGCTAATAAGAACTCTCCGTCTTGTTTTTTTGGGAGCAGTCAGGCAAGGCAGAAACATCTGTCTACAAAAAGATATATTTTGATTAGGATAAAGGAGTCAAACTGAAAATTGAACTTCTTCACATCATTTATATTTCAAAAACTTGAATTTATGTCTCAATATAATGATTTCAGACATTGGCATTTAATTTATACAGAGGAGAAAAGACAGAAACCTACTTCTACTCTATCTTGAAGGTGCTTAATAATGTGGCGTTACAGCGGGCAGGTGAGATGGTTCAGCAGGTAAGAGAACATGCTGTGCAGCAGAGCCTGAAGACCTGAGTTAATACCCAAGACCCTAAATAAAGGATAGTTCTGATGCTGCGTATTTGCAATCTCAGCATCCCCATCGGCAAGATGGGAGGCAAACACTGGAAATTAGTCTAGGATCAGGAAAGGCAATGAATCTGGAGCACACGGGGTGGCAGAGACACTAGAGAGCAGGCCTCAGCAAGATGAAAGGAGTAAAAATCTCCAGACAGCATCCTCTGACCTTCACAGTCATGCTGAGGCAAAATATACCTGCACACACACACACAACCATAATACATACAGACACAAAAATCACGATGAAAATAATGATAATAAATAAAAGATATTAAAATTTAAAGTTTCAAGTACTATTTTGTATGGGTCACAAGAGGAACATTGAATGGTGGTTATGACTCCTCTAGCCTCTTTTCTTTTAGATTGCTCCACTTTCAACAGAACAAAATCCAAGCACACACTATGAAACTGAATATAATACACACTTATTATACACATAATATCAATTATGTGTTGGCTTTCTGGAGTTGTTTACTCGGTAGAAGATAACAAAAAATTCAGTTCTTTTCTAAGCCCTTCATCTTTCTAATAGGGAAGTACTTTCTATGAGAGCATAGATGTGCAGTGGCAGTTTTCAAAGGCACACATGGCTCTGGAGAGAACCTGATGAGGAATGGAGTGCAGTCAGGAAAAATTCTTTCCTAATAGCCCATGTTCATGGCAAGTACTCATATTCAATGATTGAGAAACAAGATTACCTTTGCCATGTACTATGCAATCACAGAGATAGAGCTTGTGTTTAAAAAAAGTTGAAAGTGGGTTTCAAATAGTATTGCCATCGCCTTAGAACTTCTAATAATTTTTTTTAACAAGGGACCCCCATTATCATCATATATTCAATATGAAGAACTATACAGCCTGCTAAGTAAGACGGCTTTTAAAGGAGTGAAATATAATCAGCTGCTTTCTTATGGCCTTTGAGAAGACACAACTTGCCAAAACGACCACTCATGGTCTTGTTCTGCTTTCTGCAAAGGACTGCACACATGCAGCATCTTCAGGAGACTAGTCACTCCACAAAGGATGCAGTTGTATTTACTCTTTTAAGACGCTCTCTCATACCATCTGCTTTGAAGATACTTATGCAGTCAGTGTTTGTATTTCCTAAACTTCAGTGTGTTCAGATGGTAGTATTTGATAGGCAAATCAGTGTGTTGGAGATTCCTAGGTTATTGCCTCAAAAGCAAAGACAAGTGGACGGAACTTTCTTCCTCCTCTTTTAGTTCGAAAGGTATGTGAAGCCTGACCATGTAGAAAATCTAGGACATGCTAGGAGAAAGTATAACAAGGGATAATGGAGCTCACCTCTTTGCAAGACCTGCTGAAGGAAATCTCTTCTGTGAAAGAAAGCCTGCTTATCTTGCATCAAAGACTTAAGAGAGGTATTATTCTTTATTCTCAAGGCTCTTTGCATTAGCATAGTCTCTCCTAGCTAATGCACACCATAAATTCTTGTGGGGGACCATAATTTCTTTAAAACCAGAATAGCTGAATAATGGAAAGTTCTGAGTACTGGCGATTTGCACATAGGAAGCATTATTAATTTGCATTAATATGATCTAAAACTGTATTGAACAAAATTTTACTTTCGATGATTTTTTCAGAACACTCTAAGTCTTGTGTGGCCTCAAGGTCATATTTATGAACACTAATTATAGTATAAGTCTAAAGATGCTGAAACTTGAGTAAATCTATAATAACCTCATGACAAACTCCTGAAATTGCATTTTCAAAATAAATTCCTGAGGCTCTCTTGCTTCTCTGTAATTTATCTTCATTAGGAAACATACTATAGAAGGTGAAAATAACTTTTGCAAATGTTCTCATTATTTAAAAACTGAATATGGACATGTCTGTTTTTAAATAAATAATTAAAAATTAGAAAATACTTTTATATCTTAATATTTTCAATGATGAAATATGCTAAGGTTTAAAATATTATGTCTATGAACCAATTGAAAAGGTGTAAAGGAATCATGTATTTAAGAGTGTAGTATTTATGTTTACCTGCTCCAATAACTCTCTCAATGCGAATTCTTGAAGGATCAATCTCTTTTGCAAATTCATGGACTGCTAGGGATGGGTCTTCATAGGTGTCTGGATCAATGTATGTCTTAATTCCTGGGAATCGCACTGCAACAAAATATAAGATTGATTTAATTTAAGAATATTTCAGTAGGCATATATCTTATGAATGTATAAAGGTGGGAGTGGCATACTGAGGTAGTGACTTATTAATTACTTAAGTTTCTGTTTATTGCTCTTTCAGGCTGACATCTCCACAAAATGGAAAACTACAGAGGGATCCCATTGTGCATAAATTCTCTCTCATGCTCTGCATCTTGACTGCTGCAAATTGAACAGCCATTGCCCATGATCCTACCTCTAGTATATATTACCTTATTATAGGTTCAGAAATTCAGAATCAGGTAACCACAGACAGAATTCTCTGAAATTGTAAGCTTAAAATAAATCCTTCCTCCTTAAGAAATCTAATGTAAAGAAATGGGGACAATACTGTGACTAAGCTGGACCATGTTGTTCACAGGATTTGGAGATGGTTTATAAAAGGATCTCAAAAAACTCTGGCAAAAATTCTGGATTCATAAGGAAAGTCTAATTCTATTCCTGGAGGGAGGTCAGAAGACCAGAATACACACAGTAATGCTATGAGTAAAGACTGCGTTCATAGAGTTTCATATATGAAGACTATATTGGAAATCTGACTAAAGACCTTCATGTTACATTCTGACAAAGAATTTCCCCCATCTTTTGTCCCTGCCCCAGTGGAAGGCTGAATTGAAAGGCCACAAAAAGTGAATATGGTAGAAGAAATGTTAAAGCATTCCAGGAAGGTCCTGACACAGTTGTACTGGCTGCTTTTAGCCATTATTTATGGTGAAAACTATGAATTTAAAAGTAGAAGAGTTTAGAAAAAAAATAACCTCACAGTTTGGTCAGAAAGAAGTAAGTTTAAAGTTAAATACAAGAAGGGTGTGGCAGTTAAAGAGATTAGAGCCATTAAAAGGGTGTTGTGGATTTGGCTTTGGAACAATAAAGTAAGCCGTGAACACTTCAGGACTGAGCAGGATTCTACCCATGTCCAACTCAAGAGTATAAGTGTATACACTTGAAAGATATTTCTTAAGAGGAGAGATCAATTGGTGCACACTACTTACCTAGGAAAATCTCAATGGTTATTCCCTTAAGATTTATTTCACTTTTCTCAGTCATGTAGACACTAAGAGACATCTATACTCGTGGTTCAAACTGGCAGAAGATCTTAGCATTATTCACTAATTCTAATTTTGAAAATGATGATGGGTAAGGTCATAGAATCTTCCACACAACTTTCAAAGAAAGCCTAGAGATCCAGGCAATGTGTAGAAGATTTGGTACTTCTGTGGCAAGCCCTGATAGGATAATATATAAAGCTATGGTAGCAAAGATAAATATGGAATAAAGATCCCAGGAAGCTAGAGATTCTGGGAATATGAAACTTCGGTTGAGAAAGATTATTAGCAACTCAGGAAAGTGGTCAAGTGTACTAAAAACAGGGAGGATGTGATGCTCAAGTCCTTTGCAGCTTATATCATTCCACACCATGACCTACATGATTTAATGTTTACTCTGATTTGTTTGCTTTGTTCTCCCAGACCTTATTTGGTATTCCATATTCCTGACTTTTGGAATGAGAATATTGATTGTGTATCTGATCTATCTGGTCTCTGTGACTCTGCCCTCAAAGGAGACTTTGAACTTTTCAGCAATGCTGAGTTATTAAGACTTTAAAAATGCATTTGATAAAGTCGGGCGGTGGTGGCGCATGCCTTTAATCCCAGCACTTGGGAGGCAGAGGCAGGCGGATCTTTGTGAGTTCGAGACCAGCCTGGTCTACAAGAGCTAGTTCCAGGACAGGCTCCAAAACCAGAGAGAAACCCTGTCTCGAAAAACCAAAAAAAAAAAAAAAAAATATGCATTTGATATTGTAAGGTGCACATGAAACTTTTGGAATGAGGGGCAGAATGCTATGGTTTAAGGAGATAGATTTAGATGTCAAGTTGAAGGAAGGTGGAGTCATGATGGCTAATTTTGATTGGCAAATAAATTGAGAAGTGCTTTAGGAATTAATAAAAGTCTTCTTTGGGTGTGTGTAAATATGTTGTAAGATAGTTATCATTAAAGGAGAAGACTTCCTCCAATCTTGGTGGAACAATCCCATGGTCTAGGGTGTAAAATGGGAAAAGGAGAAAAGGGTGAAAAAACACAGCCTAGGCAGTCTTTTCACAATCTGCCTCCTCCCTGCCATGAGTTGAATGTCTCTGCTCTGCCAGGCCCTCAATGTATGAGACCTCTGAGACCATGAACAAAAGAAATCTTCGCCCTGTAAGGAGTTTTTGTCCACTATTTTATCACAGTGACACACACATATCTATGGCATAATACAAAATAAGTGGATGATATTTGGTGTTGTTACACCTCAGGATAGAGAGCCAAACTAATTCATAATCAAGTAGAATGTTAGACTCATGTTCTTACAGGAAAATCATAAAAACAAAACAAAAAAAGAGTGAGCTTAGAAGCGGCAATACGATGTTCATTAGTAGCTGTAATTCGCTTCATTTATTATTTTGTGTTCACTGTCTTCATTTATTACCTTGAACCTATGTCTTCTTAGTGCTTTGATATGCACAAATGAGAAAATTAGCATTATTAAAAATAGTACCAAGAAAAAATATTTCCAGGAGTATGTAGACCTGAAATTGATTCTGAAATTTTACGCTTTTCTTGACTTATCACAGTTTAAATGTGAGGAGAGAAGAGAGAGTTTGTGTCTCTATGTAATATTTAGGTTTTCATAACCTCTATGTTATACTCACAACTTAATCATAGTTATAATATTAAATTTAGCTCTGATTCTGCTAGACAATTAGTGTCAGCTAATCAGATATATGGTCATGCTGAAAACATTAAAGACACATGAAAATACCATTACTAACTCGCACGTAATTTTCAAAATTAAGCTATTTATTTAAAGTTATAGTGCATTCCTATACAATAACTAGATAACAATGCTTCATCTGTGAAAATGCAATATATGTAATATCGTAAAATCCTTGGTCAAATGAATTCCAATTGTGAATATCAGCTTACTAATTTAATTCATCCCCTGCTTTCTTAAACACTGGTTTCTTTTGCTTCCCTTCCTTGGCGCTTCAGGTTATTTCGATAGGTCTTTCTGAGCCCATCTGCTGTAGTTTATGCTAATCTGCTGCTTGGAAAGCAGATAATAAATACCTCAAGAAGCACTGTTTCCCTCTGCACCTCGGTACAAAAAGCCCTGCCGTGAATCTTAAGGTTGCCCAGCATTAGTTATTCCTCCAGGTGTCTGCATCCAGGTTTTTCAGTCTGTTTACATTGTTCTGAGGTCATTTCAGGCCAGGTCTCTAAGGCAGATGGTTTTTAGGCACACTTAAAAATTATAGGTGCCTTTGAATTTTCCCTAAACCATCTCAGAAATTTATAATATCTTACTTAAAACCTCTTCCTGTCTTGTGGGGGAGATATAGATGAGATGGGTGTCTTTTTTTTTAAAAAAAAATCTATATTTTTTTTTGCTTAATTTAAAAACAAAAGCGAGATTTAAAAAGTAGAACAAGTTGTTCCTTATATTATCTCTATACTTTGGTTAATTAAAAAACATCGCTTTCTTGTTAGTTCAGTGTCTCACAATAGAAAAACTGTCTTGAGAAGTAGCTTGCAATTTGGAGGTGAAGGTGGAGGTGGGTGTTTGGAGGAGAGAAGGGCAATTATCAAACCAACTATAGTTGGTAATTACAGCTTGCTGAGGAAGAGATCTCCAAATGAATATAACCTTGTAGTCAGCACAGGGCTTCATACATATTCTAAGAGTTAAAGAGCTGATATACTTTTATAGTGCTAATGAATTGTAAATTGCTTTGTTGTATGATTAAATGACAATCTTCAAAAACGGAATAAGGGTTCTTCAACATGTCTGTATAACACTTTACTAAATAAAACTGACTCATGCTCCAGAGCCATTGTGATGGTAAATAACTATACATAATTAGTCACCACGTATTTTTAGTAAATTCAATTTGTTGGGTTCTCCCACAAGCATTGAAGAAAAGGTAATGCCATTTAATGAGAAGCAGGTGCAGTTTCCACCCTAAACCTGGAAGCTAGATGAAACCCTTAATGCCAATAGGTTGGAAATGAATGTTTCGCTTGTTTGCTTTCAGGAGACCCCAAATTTGAATGGAGTCCTAAAGATTCCAGTAGGATATAGACAGTGGCAGAACAATGGCAATACTTACGGTGGCCATTCTGTAAATGTGTTCTTCTCTTCTCTTCTGATTTCATTTTAGCCTTTATGTACCATTGACACCTTACAGAAAAGAAAACAAAACCTTACTCAAGAGTTATGTAATATAGGAATGCAAAACAATTAGGGGCCTGGAGAAATACCTCCATGCTTAAGAGCATTTGCGACTCTTCCATGCATCTTGAGTTGACTCTCAGAGAGGGCTCACAAGTGCCTGTACCTCCAGGTTTAGGAACTGTAACACCCTCTCCTGGCCTCCATGGATACTTGAACTCATATCCACATACCCTGTTACACATATATAGCTTACAATGAAAAAGGAAATGCAAAAAAAAAATACAAAACAACTAGATCCCACATCATCAACAGATGGGTTCTTGTCTATCTTTATAAAGACCCGCTTAGAATATGTTTATAATGTGAAAAGGCCTCATATAATTCTTCGATATACATCAAAATTAGCACCAAATAGCACGGTCTAAAGACTGATTTAAAAGATAAGATTCACATAAAATATTTTGCCATCAGCCATAAACATCCCTTTCTTTTATATCTGACTTCTAATAACCACAATTGTTTTTTTCAGTATCAAAATACAAAAGATTTTGAATTAGAATCTCAGAAATTTAGAAAATTAGCTCTATTTTCAATGCCAATTAGCATGGTGGCTTCTTTCTTAAAAGTTGAAATTTTTTTTTACTTATTTATTTAAAATGTCCACCTCCCCCATCCTCCCATTTCCCTCCCACTCCCTCCACTCCCCCTCCCCCTTGCTCTCCAGTCCTAAGAGAAGTCAGGGTGCCCTGCCTTGTGGGAAGTCCAGGCCCCCCCTCTCCATCCAGGTCTAGGAAGGTGAGCATCCTAACAGACTAGGCTTCCAAAATGCCAGTACATGCAGTAGAATCAAAATCCAGTGTCATTGTCATTGGCTTCAGTCAGCCCTCATTGTCAGTCACATTCAGAGAGGTCAGTTTAATCACATGCTCGTTCAGACCCAGTCCAGCTGGCCTTGGTGAGCTCCCATTGGTTGGGGGGATGGGATAATTGAGATGGAGGAAGGGTGAATATGGGAGCAGGGAAGAAGATATGTTAACTAAGGGAGCCATTTTAGGGTTGCCAAGAGACTTAGCTCTAGAGGGGTTCCCAGATGTCCAAGGGGATTTCCCCTGCTAGGTCCGAGGGCAGCAGAGGAGAGGGTGCCTGAACTGGCCTTCTCCCATAGCCACACTGATGAATATCTTGCATATCACCATAGAACCTTCATCTGGCGAGGGATGGAGATAGAGACAGAGACCCACATTGGAGCACTGTACTGAGCTCCCAAAGCGCAGATGAAGAGCAGAAGGAGGGAGAACATGAGCAAGGAAGTCAAGACTGGGAAGGGTGCTCCCACCCACAGAGACAGTGGGACTGATCTAATGGGAGCTCATAAAATTTGAAAATTTGGAAGGAATGTTTTATTCTTGCATTGTGTAATTGGGACTTTGACTATATCAATTCAAGTAACTTCACTAACATCCATGGAATTCGACTGTTAATTAAATTTATAATTCCAATTGGTTTAACAGAATGTATCTGTAGTATGCACTGCAGTTTTTCCAATGTTAATTATGTCTGCATTTCTATGGTAGTTTAAATATTCAACCAGATCTTCTTTACATTCTCCATGGAATAGCTTCCATTATACGGCTCCCTATCAAAGTCCATAAGATGTATTTCAAAATGACTGTGTTAGACAATGTAAGCAAAGTAGTTTTCTCCAGTGTGTAAAATGTTTAGGCAATTTCTGATGTTATAGATATTGGTAAACATAAAGATGAGAATGATTTAGTGTTCAGTTTTCTTTGTTAACTTCTCTGTTTTAAGTGGCATTGATATTCCAACTCAGAAATCCTGATGATAGGTAATGTTTGATAAACTCTATTCAAGCCTGTTAGATTAAATTTTGTTCACAAAGATGGCAGCATTTCATATTTGTGACATTTACAATTCAAGGCAATAATTTTTACTATAAAAGTTAATGTTCTTAATGTAATCACATTCTCTCTTGCAAAGGAGAAGGATCCTAAGACAGTGATGACCTATGTCAGAGTGGGGACAAGTGAAGAAAAAAAGTATTTGAGAAGTTAAATGGATGTGAGGGAGAAAATGAGAAGGAAGTAATATAAAATGAAGATATCTGGTTGCATGAAAAGTGACAGTGACAAGGTGACTGACTGTGTTACCAAATCCAGCTAATACCTTATATATTGATAACTGCTTAGAAAATGCCATCAGAAGAACACTCTCTATAATAAACTTCTCCGGTATATATCCTTTACCCTCTATAAAATAAGTGCTATCAGAAGTTTGTGAATCTTATGTATGGATATCTCAATAATAATAATTTCTTCATCATTGCTGTGGGAGCGCCTTCTGCTCCTTCAGCCAATAGCCTCTGAAATACCAGCCCACTGGGGCATGGTCTTGTAGGGATAAGTCCCACCCCTTAGGGGGCGTGTTCGCCTCGGGCTAATGTTGGCCTATAAATTTGGCGAGTGTGCTCCCAGCCTTTGCTTCTGCTTTCCTGGTCTCCACAGAACCAGGAGATTACCAAGTAATCTGTAAGTCTATTTCGCCATTAAAGCTGTATATATATTTTTACAATCTGTCTGCATTCGTTTACGCCGTTACATGGTCTATGGTCTATTTCTCTTTAAAAAAGAGCGGCAAGCCTTGACTGGCTCTCATGGTTCCGGTGCTTGGTTCAGGCTCCTGCTCCAGCGACTAGACTCCTTTCCTGACATTTGATGTTTTGTAAGTTTTACCCCTAAAATAAATACCCCTTTAAATCCTAACTGGTGGGGGATTGTTTGACGCATTACATCATAATATTACACCCACCTGAAAGTATAATTACACCATATATAGAGATGCTAACACAAATATGAAACACATATTACCTAGACTGTGATAATTTAATATGATGATTAATTTTGATTTAGCAAGATTCTTAACTTTCATTTTGAATTTTTTTGAAGATGTTTAGGATATAATATTAGGTGGTTTATTTAGGAGGATTATCGTATTTGTCTATAACAACAATCAATAAAAAACCCATTCCTCATAAAATTGATTTTAAATATTTGTAATAACTCACTATATAGTCAAATCAGATACAGCTATAATGTATGTTACCTACATCCCATAGAGTATGAATTAAATCCCTCTATCAGTCATCTCTTGCTGTCACCAGGGATAGGAATGGCATACCCAGATCTGCTGCTTATGAATGTTGCTTTATCTTCTTTCAGAGTTCTCTGCTAGTGTTTAGTGCTTTATTTAAAAAGATTCCTTCAAAATAGCTTACTTAAAAAAATGTTATCGTCATCTTATTGGTGAAGATTTAATACTTGGATCTTGGTAATCATCCAAATACATGTAAAGATTAAAGTATGTTTTTATACCAAAACTATAAATATAGAAAACTGTGGCCAAAATAAATGAATTTGTTTGACAGAGTAAGGATTCAAACCTAAATCTCCAACTTTTTCAACTTATAATAATTAAAAATTATCTATTATCTATATTACTCTAAAGTTGATTATTATATTTATAAAACTAAAATTATTATAATGTAGAGAATTTTTTTTATTTAGTTGTCAAAACATCTTACTTTCATAACAAATTCACAAAGAATTGCTTTGTCTAATTCTGAATTTTTTCTCCAAGAAAAATCCTTCACAGAGTCATCAAATTACAATAAAGAAACAAAAATTCAGGAGTACGTTACTCTTTATTATTCAGCTGTCAACTTTTTACTGTAGGATTTGGGTAGGTTTTTTTGTTTTTTTTCTAAATTGAGAGCTGCTATTGAATGTTTCTATGGTCTCTTCATGTCAGGAATGTTCTCTCCCCCCCGCCGCCCCGATATGTGAACACACACACATGCATACATGCACACACACAGACACACAGACACACAGACACACACACACACACACACACACACACACACACACACAAGAATACACTGGGTATAAAGTGTGGTTTTCCACTGAGTTGGGGATAGTCCAGAAGACTCACTTACCTCCCAGTGATGAGGAAGAAGAGAGTGAGGATGACTAGGAGCGTGAATCCTCCAACGGCCGCCGTGGCTATTACCAGGATCTGCCCTTGTTCTGCTGCCATGTCAGAAGCTGAAACATGAGCACAGGTGACACATATCGTGATGGTTATTATTTTAAAGCACAGTAGAATTGACCTTTATTTTAATAGGTCTCTAAACAAACCAGCTGAAGTAGATTTATATAATGCTTACAGAACTGAGGTCATTATACACAACACAAAACTTTCTTCTGTCTTAAAAATATAACAAGGTGTTTGAATTCTTAACGCTTCCTTTTAAGAGTGAGTATGATTTGTATTGACCAGACTTTTCAGACTTATTAGGATTTTGTTTCTACAATATAAAAAAATCCTGTAATTTAAATTAATAAATTAAAAAAAATAATTTATATATAATATATATTTCACAGAACTAAGTTTCTGTGAAATTTAACAAGAATAAGTATACATGTGTATATGTGTGTACAAACTCATATATATCTATATATACATAAATATTTGGTAGATGATAAGTACAGGAGAAAAGAATACTTAAGTGCTTTTTTTTTCTTTTTTGATGACAAATAGTCAACAACATTTTACATTTTTTTTTTGCTATGTGTGGTATTTAGTATTAATTTTCAACTTGACAGATCCAGAGTCATTGGGTGACACTGGTGTTTCAGCATGCATGTGGGAAATTATTTTGATTACATTAACATTCATTGTAGGTGGAACCATTTCATGGATTGGAATCCAGGAATGAATAAATGGAGAAGAGGAAATAACTGGCAGCATTTGCTCATCTGCTCCATACTCCATGATTGTGCTATGACAGCTGCTTCTGGCTCTTTCTTGTAGCCTTGATTTCCCTTTCTAAACACTGTGAACCAAAATATACCTTCCTACTTACGTTACCTTTGCCAGAATGTTTTACCATACAAAGAAAGAAATAAACTAAGATATTTTCAAAACTCTCTCTCTCTCTCTCTCTCTCTCTCTCTCTCTCTCTCTCTCTGTATGTGTGTGTGTGTGTGTGTGTGTGTATGTGTGTGCTTTTCTGTTTGTTTGTTTATGATGCTAAGGTTTGAACAGAGGACTTTGCATATTATAGATAAGAAAATGCTTGTCTTAAAAACCGCAGCAGCTACCTGTCATCTTCCAGTGGCCCTAAAATACATTGATTGGTTCCGTTCATTTATTGTATTCCATTTTCACTATTACTGTTTTCTACACTATATGGGATGGGAAAGTGCTTATATATCAGAGTGAATCCCTTAATATCTATAACTGATGTGTGTCAATTAAAGAAAAAAATAGTAGTAATGAAAGTAAAACACAGATTAAAGAGCTTCGTCATGTAAACTTATGACCAGAATTTAGCTCCCAAATTTTCTTTTGTTTTCCTTCCTATGCTATAAGTACCAATAACAAGTCAGCCACCAATAGTCTAAAATATTAATAAGTCCCATTATTATCCTTCAACTTGACTAAAACTCTGTATTTTATTTCCTTTGTGTGTGTGTGTGTGTGTGTGTGTGTGTGTGTGTGTTATGTCAGTGTGCAGCAGTGTGAAAATGGAGGTCAGGGAACAATCTTGCATGTTGGTCCTAGTCTTCTACCTTGTTGGAGACAAGGTTTCTCTTCCTTCACCACTCTTTTTGCAGGATATCTTGATAGACACATTCCACTAGCCTCCAGGTGTTTTCCTTTCTCCACATCCCATCTGTCTGTAAGGGCAGTGATGGCTCTGTCACTACACCCTGCTTTCATCAGGGCTCTTGGGGACTCAACTCAGGTCATTAGTCTTGCACAGCCTCCTCTCCTAGGTAATAACAACTGTAGGTTTCAGTAAGAAACCACTCACACCATTTAGGAGACTTTCTAAATGTAATAAGAAATAAAAGTCACATTCGTTCAGTTTACAGCTAAAGAAATTCATTAAACATTGGAGTTCAATTTTTGTCACCATTATTTCATCAAAGCATTTTCAGGCCATTTTACAAAGTTGAGTATTGATTCGTAATCTGTTCAGAGATGAGTTAAATAGTTGTATCTTATCTAGTAAACAATGGACTCAAGCTTTTTATTAGTTCTTCCCCAAGTTTTGCAATCCTCGAAATAGCGTTGATAGAGGAACTAATGGTGTGCTCTAAAATGTCATATTTTCTCACTGAAAATTATCAAACAATAGATTTTAAGAGATTGATTTTTCAGAAAACATTATAGTTTGAAGATAAAGAAGATGACATTTTTAAAAGAAGACATTATTTACTTACAACTCCTGTGCTCTTAAAGATATAATCTAGTTCAAAAGTGTTCCATCTAGAACAAATATGGTCATAGTAAGTAGTCAGGTCTCTAGTGATTTCTGAGACTCTATTCAAAGCTCAGATGGGGAGAAAGATTATATACTTGAGTGGCTTGTGAAAATCATAAAGTTTGTCATAAAAATTTATGTTGTTTAACATAATAAGTTAGTTAACTACTGGCTTCACTAATAAGTCTCCTTTTGCTTACTTCTGATTACATGATCACTGAACTTAAATTAGGGTTTCAATTGTGTTTTAAAGAGAATGTTAAATAAATATGAAGAATGAATAGCAATGTATAATTAATTCCCAAGCATGTATACAAGCAAAATTAAGTACTCTGCACAAAAAATAACATACACACATACACAAAACAGTTGAAGAATGCTTAATGGATGTCAATATTGTCCTGGGTATAAAATAATACAGACATTGAGCGGGTATGATTAGGGAAACATGACAAACATGAACACTCATATCACTTACAATCTATGTATTATTTAATAAGCAAATGTCTATGTTTTCAGGTCAGTGCAAAGAGTTTAGAAATATTATTGAATATATGCTCATAGTCCACATGCTTATGTCAGTGCCATTTTTACTCCTATTTGAGTAGTTCTGTTTCTTGTCCAAATCCACACATATGGTACACAGAAAAGCTGACAGAACAGTACTGACTTGTCTGTCTCAAGTCCTAGCTACTGAAATATTTTAAACAACCTTTTTACCTAACAGGAGAACAGATTTTTTGTTCTACTAGAATCATTCATGCCCTTGTTTGCCCCTGATTTCCAGTAAATAATGTGAGATTATTGAATTAAATGTAATTGTCACAGCATGCCAGAGAAATGTAGCTATTTTATTGTATGAAGCAATAAAATATTGGAAAGAACACAATTTCCTACGTGGAAGTAGGAGGAATGTCCTGGGCCAGTGCCGCATTATTGTACTTGCTGGATAAGTTCTGTCTTTATAGGATTAGTGCTGGTCCATCACAGAGCTCTGGCTTCATCTGTGGGTAAACGTCAAAGCCCTTAACTTTACTACTGAGGCTTTTTCCAACTGGCTAGCACAGGTCTCTAGCTTGTCTGATTAAAGGACTGTGCACACCCTCAGTTCCTTGAGTGAGCCACAAGTTTGATAATGGTCAGTTCCTGACAGTTCTCTTTTATGGACACCCAGTCATTTGGGAAGCTTTTTCCCAGTTGTTGTTTTTGCTGTTTTCTTAGGCTCTCAGACAGATGTTTCCATAATCCACTTAAACTAGTACTATAAATGAAAGTATAGTGGTCACTCAAGTTACTTTTTAGCAAACTGTCTCTTTTATTGGGATGAAAATTCCAGGACCACATGAAATTCATTCCTTGTGTTATCTGTAGAAAGTCCGGTGTGACATACCTCTACTCTTCTCAAAGAGAAAGTGTAAATAAAAATCAGATCCATCATGGATTATCTAGATGATCTCAGTTCTAACAGTAATTCTTATTATATGAGGTTGAGACAAGAAGGCATAAAAGGAGTGGTTGGTGTTACAGCAGAGTGGTGAGGAACAGGAAGGAGAGATGAAGGGTTCTTTCTCAGATCCTTGGAGGTGTGCTTTGGGTTCTATTTGTGATTGTTTTTGAAGGAACAAAATGTGTAGCATTGTACACAAAAATGAATTGGAAGCCCAACCCATGTGACTGAATATGTGGCTGTAGCTGAACGAGTACATCAAGAAAATGAATTGAATGGTTATGTACACTGTATAATTCTGATAAGGAAAGATTGGAATAAGCTGGGCATAACTCACAACTGTCCTCCTTTTAATAATGTGAAGGAAGTTTTTTTTTTTTAATCTCAAACATAGCCATTCAATATATATGAAGACCATGGATTCAATACTCATTTCTAATTACTTCACACACTTTGGAGATGATGATTCTGGAAGGCAAGAGTTACAATCGACATAACACTTCTACATTTCAGCACGATCTTCAGAACAAAGTTAAAGAATTCATTACTTCACCAAGTAATGTTTATTGAGAAGTTATTACATAGCAGATACCAACGTGACCCTGGGGAGACAGAGATGAAAAAACCATACGCAATTACTATGCTGGTAGACTGACAGATCAGTAGGGAAAATAGACAATGAACAGAAAGTTACAGAGAGTAAAAATTGCTACATTAGGGAAACTGTCTGCAGTGCTGTCTATATTCAGTTGTGCAGTCCCAATGCTAATTATCTCTAATTAGTTTTCTCAGAGAAAACACATCTAGAACTTATTCTTAGTAGTACCAATAGGGAGAGCCCTGACCCTAAAATGAGCCATAGTGGGATATGTAGAGATAAATGAAATTTATTTGTGAACCACTCATTTGAATTATTTTTTTGTTAAATGCAAAAAACCCATATCCTCAAACGAAAATAAGGATACTAAATTATGTTTAATTTTATGGTCTTGGCAAAAGTATACTCCCTTAAGAAAAAATATTAAATTTTAAAAATATTGTGAATTTGTTATTTAATCAACATTTAGAACCTAGATAATGCTTGGTTTAAGTCAGGATAATGTTTTATGAGGCTTGCTCTAGTTATTTCTATTTAAAGAGGAAAAACAGAATGAAGTTCTTTCCATGGAATCTAAATTCTTACAAAAAAATAGATTTCACGTTTTTAGAAAAGTGTGAGAGAAAAGCAATTTGGCTATTTTTAACTAACACATTTTCTTATATGGAGGCATATGATTCTGCCTCACTGTAATCAAGATTATTTTTCATATTTACATTTCAAAGTG